GTTCGTAGCAAGTTCGTTCTGAAATGGAGTGGTTGGTGTATTGCATAGTTTTAGCCATTGGATTTCACTCAAAACCAACCAAATGACTCCTCCCACCATATTATGTTGTTCCCCAAGTTTTGGACTCAATCCGATATCGATTGGTCCATGAAATCGGACTATTCAGGTTCGTAGAAGTTCGTTCTGAAATGGAGTGGTGGTGTATTGCATAGTTTTAGCCATTGGATTTCACTCCAAACCAACCAAATGACTCCTCCCACCATATTATGTTGTTCCCCAAGTTTTGGACTCAATCCGATATCGATTGGTCCATGAAATCGGACTATTCAGGTTCGTAGCAAGTTCGTTCTGAAATGGAGTGGTTGGTGTATTGCATAGTTTTTAGCCGGTGGAATTTTCCCTCCTTCCAAAACCAACCAAACTCGCCCACCAATTATGTTGTTCCCCAAGTTTTTGGACTCAATCCGATATCGATTGGTCCAAGAAACGGACGATTAAGGTTCGTAGCAAGTTCGTTCTGAAATGGAGTGGTTGGTGTATTGCATAGTTTTAGCCATTGGATTTCACTCCAAAACCAACCAAATGACTCCTCCCACCATATTATGTTGTTCCCCAAGTTTTGGGACTCAATCCGATATCGATTGGTCCAAGAAATCGGACTATTCAGGTTCGTAGCAAGTTCGTTCTGAAATGGAGTGGTTGGTGTATTGCATAGTTTTAGCCATTGGATTTCACTCCAAACCAACCAAATGACTCCTCCCACCATATTATGTTGTTCCCCAAGTTTTGGACTCAATCCGATATCGATTGGTCCATGAAATCGGACTATTCAGGTTCGTAGCAAGTTCGTTCTGAAATGGAGTGGTTGGTGTATTGCATAGTTTTAGCCATTGGATTTCACTCCAAAACCAACCAAATGACTCCTCCCACCATATTATGTTGTTCCCCAAGTTTTGGACTCAATCCGATATCGATTGGTCCAAGAAATCGGACTATTCAGGTTCGTAGCAAGTTCGTTCTGAAATGGAGTGGTTGGTGTATTGCATAGTTTTAGCCATTGGATTTCACTCCAAAACCAACCAAATGACTCCTCCCACCATATTATGTTGTTCCCCAAGTTTTGGACTCAATCCGATATCGATTGGTCCATCAAATCGGACTATTCAGGTTCGTAGCAAGTTCGTTCTGAAATGGAGTAGGTGGTGTATTGCATAGTTTTAGCCATTGGATTTCACTCCAAAACCAACCAAATGACTCCTCCCACCATATTATGTTGTTCCCCAAGTTTTGGACTCAATCCGATATCGATTGGTCCATGAAATCGGACTATTCAGGTTCGTAGCAAGTTCGTTCTGAAATGGAGTGGTGGTGTATTGCATAGTTTTAGCCATTGGATTTCACTCCAAACCAACCAAATGACTCCTCCCACCATATTATGTTGTTCCCCAAGTTTTGGACTCAATCCGATATCGATTGGTCCATGAAATCGGACTATTCAGGTTCGTAGCAAGTTCGTTCTGAAATGGAGTGGTTGGTGTATTGCATAGTTTTAGCCATTGGATTTCACTCAAAACCAACCAAATGACTCCTCCCACCATATTATGTTGTTCCCCAAGTTTTGGACTCAATCCGATATCGATTGGTCCATGAAATCGGACTATTCAGGTTCGTAGGAAGTTCGTTCTGAAATGGAGTGGTTGGTGTATTGCATAGTTTTAGCCATTGGATTTCACTCCAAACCAACCAAATGACTCCTCCCACCATATTATGTTGTTCCCCAAGTTTTGGACTCAATCCGATATCGATTGGTCCATGAAATCGGACTATTCAGGTTCGTAGGAAGTTCGTTTGAAATGGAGTGGTTGGTGTATTGCATAGTTTTAGAGATTGGATTTCACTCAAAACCCACACTATGCCAAATTTCACTTTTAGCAACACTACATAAACATTGGTAAATAATGAAATCGCTGCTATGTAGCTTAGGCATCGATTTCCAAATAACGATATACCTAGGTATAAAGACATCAGTACAAATTTTTAGCTTTTTATGATGATGCTTTTATTACCCTTCAGCATCATCTACATAAACCCAGATGCCTAAAGTGGTTAGTTTTTATTTTATTTTTTTAAGAGGGGACATTTTTTAGTAACGTCCTCTGATGCCTAAAGTCAAGTCCACCTTAACCCAAAATTTTCACACTCTCCCTCGCCCACTCTGCCCGAAACTCGGGGGTGTATTCATTGGGATTTTAAAAAACTATTTTGGATAAATAAGTCTTGTGGTATTCAATGACGATTTTTAAATATCTAAACAAGTCTTGTGGTATTCCATTAAAACTATTAGGATTTTTAAATGAGGTGTCGAAATCTTGTGGTATTTAATCAAGACTTTAAAGAAGTAACAAAAAGTTTATGGTATTCAAAACTTGTATTTCGACGGGAATTTTTTAAATGTGAGATTTTGTGAGATTTTTTTAGTGAAAGGTATAAATACGAGGCCCTATCTCAAATCCCACACCCTAACCCGTCGGATTTTTCATGTGGGATTTTTTTTTTCTCTCTACATGCTGAAGAAGATAAAAAACAAAGCAAACAAGCAAGCCCAGGCCGAGCTTTTCCCAGACAACCCCAACTTCAGATGCTAATAACAATGTATTGTTAAACTCCTTGGCGCCAAGCCAAAGCACATGGTTTCCCAGCCAAGAACACCCAAAAAACCCATATTCCAAACATAAATCCAAAACAGAAAAGAGCAAGCAGACATTTGAACTTGAAAAATCTACATGGAGGTGTTTGCGATTGTGTCCCAATGACCCAGGTTTCCTTGTATTTTGAATAGTACTTTCTTTTTGGGTTGTGTTCAATCAAGATTCATGAAAAAAGCCAAATGTATTTTTGGATGTAATTAATAGGTGCATTCTTGCTCTGTGTCTAGTAGAGGCAAGCAACATAGAAAACTATTCCAGTTAGCGTTACTATAGTGGAACCTGTAGGCAGCAGCTACCTAGTTTTGCTTTGTAATATCTTATGTATGCCAACCAATTTCAAGCAAGTTTTTTCTTTCTCATATTTTTGACGGTCTTGGATGCTGGATGTTATGTTCAAATTCAAATGGTGTTTATGGGGTTTGGAGGAAGGAATGAAAAGCAGAAAACACCATGACTAGGAAAAGGGTGGTGATAAATTAAAAGAAATTGACTAATATGGGTTTCTTGACATACAACTTGGCTAGATGCTTGCAATTTGCTACCTTGGTTAGTATGTCGTCCTATAAGTCAAATAATGAGGGTGCACGTGATGTTATTGTTGACCTTTCTACACATACCAATAAGGTTTCAAACCTATCTTCCTTCTCAAATGCAAGTTTTTTGTAAAAGGAAATGAAACTAACGAAATATACAGATGCTTGCACATGAGATCTTCATTGGACTAGGCGGAGGAATCAACAAACTGCTGTTTATTTTAAGCAATCTGATTCCGATTCTGAGGGGACTTGCGACAGCAAAAAGTGAAGAATGCCATCTAAGGCATGTGATATATTGTGTTTGAATTAATATAATCTATGGCATGTGTAAATAATTTGACTAATTTATTACACTATGCAATTACGGAAAATGATGAATAAATAAATACAATTTATAAATAATCCATATGATCCTTCCAAATCTATAAATCTTATGATATAAATCTTTAAATCCAAAAGTAAAAAAATCTTGATTGTAGAAATTTATAAATAAAATCCTTTAAATCATTACATTATAATTAAGTTGACTTTTTTATCCCTAAATAGCCTTTTAAAATCTCAATTGAACAACAACCCCCTTCATCTCCCTCCCAATTTTTTCACTCCCTCTCAAATTTGTCACCCCCAATTACTTCGTCCACTTCCAGAGCCCTCTCTGACCCTAAACTCACTCACTCACTCTCTATCCAACCCCTTTCTGGCTCTATCTGATTCCAATCCCTTTTATTCTCTTTAACCCCAAACGAGCTCATTCTTTCTCATCTAGAAATCCTCTTCGTTCCCAAACCTCTCACGACTACAATTGCAAGGTACCCTAACTCTCTCTATCGCTCTTTTATTTTCCAGATGTTATAAAAAGTTCTTTCAGTTTAGCCTTGCTGAACCTCACGGCTGCACCCCTAATTTGATTCCCAGAAAGGCAAGAGAGGTGCTGTGGATCATGAGGCTAGAGAAATATTGAAGGATTTTGCACAAAAAGATCTGGATGATGAGTTCAAAAAGGTTGATGATCTGAAGAAAGAGAGTAATATTATTAGGCTGGACTTGGACATGGGGTTCTTCAAAGATCACAAGGAGGAAGTGGATTAGGAGCTTCGACTTGGGCATCTGTAAGTGCAAAACTTCGCCTACTTGTGTGGGAATTTATCCCAAGTTAGTTTAGATTTGTTTTTATGCTGCACTTTATTTTTAAAATGATATTGATTTTCCCCTTTCTTCTTAATTAGCTACCCAACAATGAAATCAGTGATGCTTTGAGAAGGTTAATTTTTTTATGGATCTAATATTGGGTGATTACTATTATGACTATGCAAACCCTTCTTTTTGGCTTTTTCCTTTGTCAGTTAATTTGTTGATTTAAGCAGTTTCTAGCTTAATTAATCTTGAAATTTTCATTTTTATTGTTCTAATTCCTCTAGTGGTAAAGTGGGGTTACCGGTCCTTTTTCTGGTGAGCATGCAGTAGAGTTGAATGATCTGCAGCTGTCTCATCTGGCTTTAACCTTTTTTTGTAGTTTACTAAGAGAACTTGAAGTGATCATAAATATGAGAGCTGGACCTGCAGACTTCACTAAATTCAAATATTTTCATGAAGACATACAAAGAAGAAATTAAAGTTAATTTCTTTCAATTATTTCAATTTATGTTCTACCAGATACTACAAAGTTTCAAATTCTTTCAAAAGTTTAATTTATATTTAGATTTTTTATTATTCATTTTGCAGAATCTAATGGTACTTTGGTTTGTTTTTAGAAAAGATGCCATGTGATTGGTTGAAGTTGGAGAAAAGGCTAGGTGAGAGGACGGTGGGAAAGAGGTAAAAGTCAGCTTCTTATTCCCCTTTTTTTTTAAATCTGGGTGTGGATCTGCCTGAAAATGGTGCTGCCCAAGTGTTCGATGAAAGGTCTGAACACAGCGTTTAAGGCAGGTGCTTTGTTTTGATTATGATTCAGAATTTTTTTCCTTTCTGATTTTAATTTTCCGTTTGTGGCAGGTGCTTAGTTTCTTTGTTGTATTTAGTTATTTTATTTTTGGGGAGGGGGGGGGGTGCGGGGGAAGGGAATAGTTATGTATTGATTTTTGGGTTTTTAATGTTCTCCGTCATGGACGGTTTGTCTCTCTACAACGAGTCTTTGTCTCTCCGTGATGGGAGAGTCTAATGTACCACCTATAATGGGACTCTCTCTCTCTCTCTCTCTCTCTCTCTCTCTGCATATATATTTGAGCTTGTTGAATTGTTATTATCTTATGACGAGAGTTCTCTGTCCATTGCACTTTTTCCTTTTCATTTTTTCTTAATGTTATGTTTTTTTTATATATATATAAAAGTTGTTTAATCACCTGTCCTTTAAAAAGGAGGAAGAATTTTATTTCAGTTGGTTGTGATTTTCATGGTTTGATATGTCACTGAATGTTCTGAAAGTCTTATGTTTTGGTTGTATTTTGAAGGGGAGATGGAAGCTGCACTTAGTGAATTAGCAGATAGTAATTGTCAACTAGCAACTCTTAAGGCATAGAGTGTTGCTGCAAAGGGGCAATTTTCCCAGTCCTAAATTTTGGGAACAAGCATGTTGATAGGGTTAGAGATAAGCAAAAAGATCTGCAAGATATGGAGTCTACCCTCAAGGAGCTAATGGTATTGTGCTGCCTTTTATCTCTTGATTCACTTTTGAAAGCTGATTTTGAAAGGGGTAATCATGTTAATTGATTTGAGCTCTGCAGGACCAAGCTTCGAGTTGTCTAATCGACATAAAAGGCCTCATGAAGAAAGGATAAAAATATTACAGCAGTTATCTGCTTTGCAGGTTATTTTACTGTGCTACTATGGGCTTATTCTACGTAAATGCAAGTTCAACTTTACTCTTCACTTCTTGCATTTTTGAGTTCTTATTTAGTCATGTAAGTGAAATTGGGATTTTTTTTGTTTTTTTTGTTTTTGCAGAACATGCTTAAGAATGTGTAGTGTATTTCCTCTTCCCAAGCCTATTAGTTGGTGAGAGATCAAACAGAAAAGTCAAAGTCAGAAGTTTTTGAGTGCCTGGCCTTATTTATGCCTCTATTGGTAATTTTGTTGAAACTGTAGTGTCATTATGTTGATAGTTTCTTGTTCCTTGAAATCATTAGGTTGAGAAGGATAATCTTTTGTGGAGGAAGAGGGAACTGAATGTGAAGAATGACATTGCTGATGTTTTTCAAAGATCTTCTGCAGTTGATTCTAGAATTTCTGATCTGGGTATAGAAATACAGAAACGGATTGAGGAAAGAAAAATGATTGAAGCGAAGCTGGAAGAGGCGTCAAGAGAACCAGGTTAGAGAAAATCTGATGCTTTCTTTTTAACTCTGGAATTCTTGCTGCATTTTTTCGCTGTCGACACCCTGAAATTGTGTTCACTATTTCAGGAAGAAAAGAAATCATTGAAGAATTTAAAGCCTTGGGTTTCTTCATTTCCTGAGGAAATGGGTACCATGCAAGGCCAATTACGTAAATACAAAGAGGCTGCTTCTGATTTCATTCTTGACAGGCTGATGTGCAGTCTCTTTCCAGCATTCTTGATAAGAAGGTGGGTATTTATGTTATTCAGTGAAATTCTTGGTTGCATTGAAAAATTTAAACTGTTTCCTTTCCAAACAAGTGAAAGAGTGCGAGACTTTTTATCTGCCAGATCCACAGATCAAGTTGCTGAGATACAAAAATTGAATGCTGTGGTATGTCTCTTCCTACTGTGACTGAATTTATGTTGCATGCCGGGTGGAAGTGTTGAATTAGTGAGCTTGTCTTATTTAACTGAGGTTTTTTGTTAAGTTTATTCGTGAATAAGTACCACTTTTAAGTAGCCTGCATTTTTGGGATAAAAAGAAAAAGAGTAATCTTTGAACAGTAGTGTTGGTTGTGTCTCCATCTTGTTTTTGACATGCATAGTAGATTTATTATGTTGGTGGGTATGTTTTGTGGATTTGTGACATTCCATTTGATAGTTGGATCTGCTGAAGTTTCACTTGGTATGCAGTTACACTCATATTTATAATATTAGATATCAGTGGCTCTGGGTTATAAAATGGCTTCGTCAACTTGTTCTTATGTAATATTAGATATGATTTGTTTAGCTTCATCAACTTTTTCGTTCCCCCATTATTTAATGTAGGTTCAAGATTTAAAGGAGAGTGAATCAGAGTTTAAAGATGATTTTGGAAATGTATAGACATGAGTTGACTGATCCAAGGTAGAGTGCCTTTACAAGTGTTTGGTGGTTTAGTTACGTGCAGCTTTCATTTAAGTACTTTGCAAGAATTGCACTTTTTGAATAGCATCTATCCAGGACTTATCAAAAGAATTTTAAAATTGCCTTGCATTTTTTGATATTAAATTGTTTTTATCTATTAACTAAATCAATGCAAGTTTTGCAAGGTATGCAGTTGAGTTTCCCATAATTATTCACAAGGAAATCTTTGAGGTCTCATGTTTGTTCATTTCCAATTACGTGATGCTGGCTTCAGTTGAACAATGTCATAACTCAATTGTAATAGTTACATTCTACATATTCGTTTTTCTTTTTTTTAAGTATAAGCTAGATGGAAGGGCATGTACACCCAAATGGAATTGGATGAGGTGCAAGAAGAATTGGCAACTCATGTCCTAGAATGGCTTTTTGATTGAGCTAAACATATTCCTTCATTTTACATGTCTTTCTAGCTAGTATTTTGCTTATATATAGACAATTATGGATAATTTGTGGTGTAGGGCTGGAAATTGTGATTTGGATGTGACAAGTATGAATCATTCAAGTATTTTGCTTATATATATAGACAAGTATGGATATATTTAAATTATTGTTTATATAATATTTTTTTAATGAGCAATGGCAACACAAAATGATTTGGAAATGATGCATTTTTTATATACTAAACAGTAACCAAGTAAAGTGTGATGTGAAACGCGCAAAATACCTACATTTTCCTTACATAAGTGATGCCTATTGTTTATAAAAACTTCAGACATCTATGATCATTGATGCCTAAAACTAGAAGTAGCATTAGTATTTATATAACCAGCAGTATAGAGGCTTTTCATGTCCACAAAATAGAAAAAAGCGATAACTTATAACATAATTCGCAACAACACTTTGTTTATGTGATGTTATAATTGATAACACGCATCAGTGTAGCAGGTACCACTGATACTATAATACCTCCTCCTCCCTTTTGAAACTACTGATGCTGTTTCAGGTTTAGACGTCAGAGGTCAACGTTTTTTTGGCACACGGAATTCATTTAGGCATCGGATTTTACCAAATATCCGATGTTGTACCTACAAAAAGGCCACGGATAATATCCGTAGCCTATTACATAGTAATAGGCAACAGGCTTGAATACCACGGTATTTATGGGTAATAGGCAACGAATTTTATCCGTTGCTAAAGGCCTTTTTTGGCATAGTGCCACCAAATGACTCCTCCCACCATATTATTATGTTCCCCAAGTTTTGGACAATCCGATATCGATTGGTCCATGAAATTGGACAATTCAGGTTTGTACGAAGTTCGTCTAAAAATGGAGTGGTTGGTGGTATTGCATAGTTTTATCCATTGGATTTCACTCAAAACACACTAAATGACTCCTCCCACAACATTATGACGTTTCCCAAGTTTTGGACTCAATCCGATCCGATATCGTTTAGTCCATGAAATTGGACAATTCAGGTTCGTACGAAGTTCGTTCTGAAATGGAGTGGTTGGTGTATTGCATAGTTTTAGACATTGGATTTCACTCAAAACCCACCAAATGACTCCCCCCACCATATTATGATGTTCCCCAAGTTTTGGACTCAATCCGATATCGATTGGTCCATGAAATTGGACAATTCAGGTTCGTACGAAGTTCGTTCTGAAATGAGTGGTTGGTGTATTGCATAGTTTTAGCAATTGGATTTCACTCAAACCTCACCAAATGACTCCCCACAACATTATGATGTTCCCCAAGTTTTGGACTCAATCCGATATCGATTGGTCCTTGAAATTGGACAATTCAGGTTCGTACGAAGTTCGTTCTGAAATGGAGTGGTTGGTGTATTGCATAGTTTTAGCCATTGGATTTCACTCAAGACTCACCAAATGACTACTCCCACCATATTATATGTTACCCAAGTTTTGGACTCAATCCGATATCGATTGGTCCACGAAATCGGACAATTAAAGTTCGTACGAAGTTTGTTCTGAAATTGAGTGGTTAGTGTATTGCAATGTTTTAGCCATTGGACTTCACTCAAAACTCACCAAATGACAGCTCCAAAAACATTATGATGTTCCCCAAGTTTTGGACTCAATCTGATGTCGTTTGGTCCATGAAATTAGACAATTCAGGTTCGTACGAAGTTCGTTGTGAAATGGAGTGGTTGGTGTATTGCATAGTTTTGGCCATTGGATTTCACTCAAGACTAAACAAATGACTCCTCCCACAACATTATGATGTTCCCCAAGTTTTGGACTCGATCCGATATTGATTGGTACATGAAATCGGACAATTCAAATTCCTACGAAGTTCGTTATGAAATGGAAAGGTTGGGGTATTGCATAGTTCTAGAGATTGGATTTGAATCAAAACTCACCAATGACTCCTCCCACCACATTATGATGTTCCCCAAATTTTGGGCTCAATCAGATATCTATTGGTCCAAGAAATTGCACTGTTTATCTTCGTACGAAGTTTGTTCTCTAATGACTCCTCCCACAACATTATGTTGTTCCCCAAATTTTGGGCTCAATCCGATATCGATTGGTCCAAGAAATTGAACTATTCATATTCATACAAAGTTCGTTCTCTAAAGGAATGGTTGGTGTATTTCATAGTTTTAGTAATTGGAATTCACTCAAAACTCACCAAATGACTCCTCCCACAAAATTATGATGTTTCCCAAGTTTTGAACTCAATCCAATATCAATTGGTCCATGAATTTGGACCATTCAGGTTCGTACGAAGTTCGTTCTGAAATGGAGTGGTTGGTGTATTGCATAGTTTTAGCCATTGGATTTCACTCAAAACTCACCAAATGACTCCTCCCCCAAAGTTATGATGTTCCCCAAGTTTTGGACTCAATCCGATATCGATTGGTCCATGAAATCGGACAATTCAGGTTCGTACGAAGTTCGTTCTGAAATGGAGTGGTTGGTGTATTGCATAGTTTTAGAGATTGGATTTCACTCAAAACCCACCAAATGACTCCTCCCACAACATTATGATGTTCCCAAGTTTTGGACTCAATCCGATATCGATTGGTCCATGAAATTGGACAATTCAGGTTCGTACGAAGTTCGTTCTGAAATGGAGTGGTTGGTGTATTGCATAGTTTTAGCCATTGGATTTCACTCAAAACCCACCAAATGACTCCTCCCACCATATTATGTTGTTCCCCAAGTTTTGGACTCAATCCGATATCGATTGGTCCATGAAATCGGACAATTCAGGTTCGTAGAAGTTCGTTCTGAAATGGAGTGGTTGGTGTATTGCATAGTTTTAGAGATTGGATTTCACTCAAAACCCACCAAATGACTCTCCCACCATATTATGTTGTTCCCCAAGTTTTGGACTCAATCCGATATCGATTGGTCCAAGAAATCGGACTATTCAGGTTCGTAGCAAGTTCGTTCTGAAATGGAGTAGTTGGTGTATTGCATAGTTTTAGCAATTGGATTTCACTCAAAACCAACCAAATGACTCCTCCCACCATATTATGTTGTTCCCCAAGTTTTGGACTCAATCCGATATCGATTGGTCCAAGAAATCGGACAATTCAGGGTTCGTAGCAAAGTTCGTTCAGAAATGGAGTGGTTGGTGTATTGCATAGTTTTAGCCCATTGGATTTCACTCAAAACCAACCAAATGACTCCTCCCACCACATTATGTTGTTCCCCAAGTTTTGGACTCAATCCGATATCGATTGGTCCAAGAAATCGGACTATTCAGGTTCGTAGCAAGTTCGTTCTGAAATGGAGTGGTTGGTGTATTGCATAGTTTTAGCCATTGGATTTCACTCAAAACCAACCAAATGACTCCTCCCACCATATTATGTTGTTCCCCAAGTTTTGGACTCAATCCGATATCGATTGGTCCAAGAAATCGGACTATTCAGGTTCGTAGCAAGTTCGTTCTGAAATGGAGTGGTTGGTGTATTGCATAGTTTTAGCCATTGGATTTCACTCAAAACCAACCAAATGACTCCTCCCACCACATTATGTTGTTCCCCAAGTTTTGGACTCAATCCGATATCGATTGGTCCATCAAATCGGACTATTCAGGTTCGTAGCAAGTTCGTTCTGAAATGGAGTGGTTGGTGTATTGCATAGTTTTAGCCATTGGATTTCACTCCAAACCAACCAAATGACTCCTCCCACCATATTATGTTGTTCCCCAAGTTTTGGACTCAATCCGATATCGATTGGTCCAAGAAATCGGACTATTCAGGTTCGTAGCAAGTTCGTTGTGAAATGGAGTGGTTGGTGTATTGCATAGTTTTAGCCATTGGATTTCACACAAAACCAACCAAATGACTCCTCCCACCACATTATGTTGTTCCCCAAGTTTTGGACTCAATCCGATATCGATTGGTCCAAGAAATCGGACTATTCAGGTTCGTAGCAAGTTCGTTCTGAAATGGAGTAGTTGGTGTATTGCATAGTTTTAGCCATTGGATTTCACTCCAAACCCACCAAATGACTCCTCCCACCATATTATGTTGTTCCCCAAGTTTTGGACTCAATCCGATATCGATTGGTCCATGAAATCGGACTATTCAGGTTCGTAGCAAGTTCGTTCTGAAATGGAGTGGTTGGTGTATTGCATAGTTTTAGCCATTGGATTTCACTCAAAACCAACCAAATGACTCCTCCCACCACATTATGTTGTTCCCCAAGTTTTGGACTCAATCCGATATCGATTGGTCCATGAAATCGGACTATTCAGGTTCGTACAAGTTCGTTCTGAAATGGGAGTAGTTGGTGTATTGCATAGTTTTAGAGATTGGATTTCACTCAAAACCCACCAAATGACTCCTCCCACCATATTATGTTGTTCCCCAAGTTTTGGGACTCAATCCGATATCGATTGGTCCAAGAAATGGACTATTCAAGTTGGTACGAAGTTCGTTCTCTAATGGTGTCGTTGGTGTATTGCATAGTTTTAGGAATTGGATTTCACTCAAAACTTACTGATAGGCTTTTTAGTACCTGCGCAAACAGGGTTAAAACTCCTACAAAACTTGCAAGAATGACAAGGTTATTTTAGTATAAATGATTCTCACAAGGTCGTTCTCCGCAGGGATTATTAAATAACTCATAGCAACCAAATTCTAATTAATTATTGCAAAAGAGAAAGTTGAGATGTTTGATTTGAAGACCTTAAATTAAAAGGAATTTAACTAATAAAATAAGGCAATATGCAAAATTAAAGCTAAGAGCAAGAGAAACAGTTGTGTTTTTAGAAATCAAATTAAGAAAGCACTAGGGATCCGCCGTCACCTTAACAATTCTATATAGTTCCCCCAATTACTTATGACCTATACATGCATATTTCAAAGGTTAGGTATTCCTAATATATGCCTACTTGGACCCCCAACATAGAGCGTATATCACACATGCAATCCATCTGTGGTATTCAGATCAAATCTAAACATACATGACTCATTAAGTTCTGTGAAACCTTTTGAAAAACCATGCAACCCTTAAGACGTGGTATTCATCCTAAGTGAACTTGCACATATTAATCACAAGAAGCCTTCGTCAATTTCAGGGACCGACCTCCGACCAAAACTGCATCAAATTACTTTTCTAAACATCCTAATGGTGATCAAGCATCAAGACACTTAGATAGTTTAACCCAATGATGAATAATTCGAAAACCTGCATGCATATAATCATAAGCAAATTGGACAGAAACTACATATTCTTGCTAAGGCTCGTGGCCTCACCCTAGCAAAAGAGAGTTAGTTACGCATGTTCACAATTGAAATCCAAGAAAATATCATTAAGAAGAATAAGAATGAAAACACCTGAAAGTCGCGAAAATCCAAAACCCTAGCAATTGCTCCAAAAGCCAAAAAGAAGTAAAAAAGGAGTCCCTAAATTGCTGTGAAAAGGAGCTTAAATACCTCCTAAAACCTAGCTTTTTTTTTTTTTTTTTTTTTTTTTTTTTTTTTTTTTTTTTTTTTTTTTTTTTTTTTTTTTTTTTTTTTTTTTTTTTTTTTTTTTTTTTTTTTTTTTTTTTTTTTTTTTTTTTTTTTTTTTTTTTTTTTTTTTTTTTTTTTTTTTTTTTTTTTTTTTTTTTTTTTTTTTTTTTTTTTTTTTTTTTTTTTTTTTTTTTTTTTTTTTTTTTTTTTTTTTTTTTTTTTTTTTTTTTTTTTTTTTTTTTTTTTTTTTTTTTTTTTTTTTTTTTTTTTTTTTTTTTTTTTTTTTTTTTTTTTTTTTTTTTTTTTTTTTTTTTTTTTTTTTTTTTTTTTTTTTTTTTTTTTTTTTTTTTTTTTTTTTTTTTTTTTTTTTTTTTTTTTTTTTTTTTTTCTCTATTTGTGATGTTTTTGAGTTAAACATGTTGCGTTTTACCCTATTTTGTGTTAGTATGCAGTTGCACCTACTTTAGGATCAAGTTGAAGGCAAAAGAAATCAAAACATGTCATTTTTGGAGCTGGGCCATTATTCAAACGTGGAAAGAAATTTCGTGACCTGTTTTGAAGTCCAAATAAAGATCCAAAGTGAACCTGGCTTGTTTAAAGACTAAGAGCGGAATGGGAAAGTAATGGGGATTTCTAGCCTGATTTGGAGGTGCCAAATAAGGCAAAAAACGTGCAAAATAAAGGCTGATTTATTAGGATCTCTTTGGAATATCTGACAGCCTCTTTTACCCCATAAAAACTTGCCTTTTAGCCACTTTCACAGACCCTATTTATTTTGGACGAATTTCACAACCCTAGACATCCTTCTTTTTGTTATTCTCCCCTTTCACACACACTTAAACCCTAGCCGCCCATATATTTCCACCATCAAGACTCATCGCAGGAGGCTGTTCTTGGAGAAGTTCAACATCAGAATTGGTTCAAGGGTTTCCTCTCATGAATTTATTTTCACTCATGTTGTTTATTTTCGTTTTAATCTTTGTGAACATGATGTGTAACTAAATTCATAGCTAGGGATTTCGATGTAGCCTTGCAACATTGATCCATGTTTCTAAGTTAAAGTATTCAGTTCATCAATCTGTTTCTTGTTTCATTCACTGAATCTATTGTTAAATTTGTTTGTCAATTTTAATGTTTGATCACCATTAGGGTTGCCTACAGATTATCTAGTCAAGGTTATTGTAAACATCATGCTTAATCTTGGTAGACATGTGAATGAATGAAGAGAATGCTATGCAAACATCCTGCCATGTGTTTTCTTCGGTTCTTTAACGTTTTCTTGCATGATAATGACTCTTAACTTGGAACCAAAGTTGAACATCCCAATTAGGTTTGCATATTAGGAGAATTTGATCAAAACCACACATCATATGGCTGATCATATATATGTAAAACGAACTCTGGAAACAGGTTGGTAGTTGAATACGGTTTAATTTTATAAACATGGAATTGGTTTTGCAATGGTGAATTCGAAATCCCTGGTCTCATCCCTATTCTTCTTACATCAATATCTCATTCGCTGCTACATTTCGTCTTGCATTTTAAGTTATCTTTCATTTACAACACAAACTACTCTCAATTTGTCACTTTCACTTTTAGTTAGGGTTCTTTCAAAACTAGTAATTTATAGAGGTCCAATCGGTCCCTGTGGTTCGACACCCTTACTTGTACCATTATACTAACCATATATTGGCACTTGGAAGGAACACAACAAAATTTTGGCGCCGTTGCCGGGGACTGATTTCAGTCCTCTGTGATTGCTTGTTCTCAAACCCTAATTTCGTTTTATTTTTGTTTTTCAGGTAGTATATGTCAGATACACTTGCTGAAATAGGCCAAAGACTTGAACGGTTAAAGAGCAACACTTTTGAGAATTCTGTATCAACTAGTGCCCAGACTAGACGTATAGAAGAGGACAATAGTTCTTCTAGCCCAACGAGTGTAGATTCCTTCGATAACTCTAACTCTGACGGAGAAGAAGAGATGGCTGGCAATAACGATGACAACCGAGCTTTGGAAGATTATGCTCAACCGGTTATACCAAATTCACCTTCGTGCATCTTGCTGCCTACTGAAGCTAGAAATTATGAACTCAAATCTTCTCATTTTCACATGCTTCCTTCTTTTTATGGTTTACCTAACGAAGATCCATTATCCCATATTAAGGAATTCTACAATGTTGTGAGTGGTTTACCTTTGCAGGGAGTGAGTGAAGCAAATCTGAGGATGAGGGTTTTTCCTTATACATTGAAAGATAGAGCAAAGAATTGGCTAATGACTTTAGCACCTGGTTCGCTCACCACTTGGGATGCCGTAGCTAAGAAGTTTCTGGAGAAGTTTTTCTCAACTCAAAAGACAGCTACGTTGAGAGGGCAAATCTTTAACTTTAAACAAGATGATGGAGAACCTTTCAATGAATGTTGGGAGCGTTTCAAAGGCCTATTGCTCCAATGTCCACATCATGGGTTACCTCTTTACTTACAAATGCAAATTTTTTATGATGGACTAACCCAAACATGTCAATCAACTGTGGATAATGCAGCAGGTGGAGCTTTGAAGAAGAAGAATGCGCAAGAGTCATATAACATTTATGAGATGTTGGGATCTAATGCTCAACACAAAGATACAAGAGGTAAACGAGTTGGAATGTATGAAATGAGTTCTAATAATGATCTTGCTTTGCAGGTGGCTAGTTTGGAAAAGAAGCTCGATTCCGTGCTCAATATGGCGCCTAAGATAGCTGAGGTGTGTGCCATTTGCAACATACCAGGTCATCCTACTTATCAATGCTCAGCTAGTGAGGCTTATCCCGAATTCGTTCAAGAGCAAGTGAATCTCATGAATTCTTACAATCAGAGGCCGAGGAATGACCCATTCTCTAATACATATAACCCTGGTTGGAGAGATCATCCCAATCTCTCATGGAAGAATAACAATCAATTTCAAAATTTCCAACCAAAGCCTGCCACTACACTTGAAGATACTGTCAAAATGCTAGCTCAGAACACCGTTCAATTCCAGCAAACTACCAATAGTACTCTCCAACAACATTCAGCTGCTCTAACCAAAATGGAGACACAATTAGGTCAGATTGCTGATGCTTTGAGTCAAAGAGAACCCGGGAAATTTCCAAGCCAACCGGTGATACTTCAAAGGAACCAAGAGCAGGCCAAAGCGGTCATAACACTTAGAAGTGGTAAGGTTATTGATAATAGAGTTGGCAATGAAGTTACTAATGAATCTGATCATGTGAATGCAGGCCCCACTCAAGAAGAGCATGAGAAACCGAATGAAGATCCAAGCAATGCCACTTCTTCGTATGAAGCTCCAAATTTTCACAAGGCTGAAAAACCTTACACTCCTCCAATCCCATTTCCTGGAAGACTTGCCAAAAGCAAGCAGGAGAAGTCATTTAAAGAAATTTTTGATATTTTAAGTAAAGTGAATGTTAATTTACCTTTGCTTGATGTCATTAGGAATATGCCAGCATATGGGAAATTTTTCAAGGAGCTAAACACTTATAAGAGGAAGTATGGACCTAATGAAAAGGTGATGGTGTCTGAAAATGTGAGTGCTGTGCTTCAAAGAAAGCTCCCACCAAAACTCAAGGATCCGGGCAGTTTTTCTATCAATATCACCATTGGAGACACGCTAGTTGAAAAGGCTATGCTTGACTTGGGGGCGAGCATCAATTTAATGCCCTATTCAGTGTACCTTCAATTAGGTTTGGGGGGTTTGAAGGCAACAACTATTTCATTGCAACTTGCCGATCGATCAGTGAAATATCCAAGAGGTATAGTGGAAGATATCTTAGTTCAAGTTGACAAACTAATTTTGCCTGCTGATTTTGTAGTGTTGGACATGGAAGAGGCTCCTATACATGATCGTGAGTTACCTATTTTGCTTGGGAGACCCTTTATGGCCACGGCAAAGACTATCATAGATGTGCAAAATGGTCTCCTCACCATGACTGTGCTAGGAGAAACTGTACAATTCAAAGTGTTTGAATCTCTTTCTCACCCTTCTAGTTCACTTGATTGTTGTTCGATTGATGTGCTTGATTCACTTGTTTTCTCTAAGTTTTTGCTGGCACAATCCAATGATCCATTACAATATGTTTTGAGTCAATCTCAAGATGAATTTGATGAAGAAGTGCTCATGGAGATGGTGGCAGCCTTGGAAGCATTAAAACCATATCCCTCCACTTTTTCACCTCTTATAGAGCCATTAGGACCATCTGCCACACATCTGACCCCTTCTGTTGTTAAACCTCCAAAACTTGAGCTTAAACCACTTCCATCACATCTAAAATATGCTTACCTAGCTGAGTTTGAAACTCTCCCAGTTATCATAGCATCTGACCTCACCCCTTTGGAAGAAGAGAAGCTAATTAGGGTGCTAAAAGAGTTCAAATCAGCCATTGGTTGGTCTATTGCAGATATCAAGGGAATAAGCCCTACCATGTGCATGCATCGTATTTTATTGGAGGAGGGAGCGAAACCAACTCGTGAACCACAAAGAAGGCTCAATCCACACATGAAGGAAGTAGTGAGAGCTGAAGTGTTGAAGTTGCTAGATGTGGGTATCATATACCCGATTTCAGATAGCAAATGGGTCAGCGCTGTTCACGTAGTGCCTAAGAGGATTGGAATCACAGTGGTAAAAAATGAGCATAAAGTGCTTGTTCAAATGAGACCTGCAGCTAGTTGGCGTGTTTGCACCGATTACAGGAAGTTGAATTCGTACACTAGAAAAGATTATTTTCCTATGCCTTTTATTGATCAAATGCTTGAGCGATTAGCTGGTCACGCATATTATTGTTTTCTTGATGGATATTCAGGTTATAATCAAATTGCGATTGCTCCGGAAGATCAAGAGAAGACTACATTCACCTGTCCTTTTGGCACTTTTGCATATAGGAGGATGCCGTTTGGCCTTTGCAATGCCCCAGCAACATTCCAACGATGTATGCTGGCAATCTTTTCAGATATGATTGAGAGATTTATTGAGGTATTCATGGACGATTTTTCAGTTTTTGGTTCTTCTTTTGATACTTGTCTTAACCATCTCTCTCTAGTGCTTCAAAGATGTCAGGAAACAAATTTGATTCTCAATTGGGAAAAGTGTCAATTTATGGTGAAACAAGGTGTTGTGTTGGGGCATGTAATATCCAGCAAGGGTATTGAAGTTGACAAAGCAAAAATTGACATCATCTCAAATATGGCAGCCCCTACTTCAGTGAAGGGAGTGAGAAGCTTTCTAGGACATGCTGGTTTTTATCGTCGTTTCATTAAGGATTTTTCCAAGATCACTCATCCATTGTGCAATCTTTTGGCCAAAGATGTTGTATTTCACTTTGATAAAGATTGTATGAATGCATTTAATACCTTGAAACGTGAACTAACCTCTGCTCCTATCATTATGGCCCCAGATTGGTCTTTGCCTTTTGAGCTAATGTGTGACGCCTCTGACTATGCTATTGGTGCTGTTTTAGGTCAAAGAGTAAATAAGCTGCCACACGTAATCTACTATGCAAGTCGGACATTAAACGATGCTCAACTCAATTACTCTACAACTGAGAAGGAGTTGCTTGCTGTTGTTTTCGCTTTAGAGAAATTTCGTTCATATCTTGTTGGCTCTAAAGTTATTGTTTACTCTGATCATGCAGCTCTTAGGTTTTTGTTGACCAAGAAAGATGCTAAACCACGTTTGATAAGATGGATACTCTTGTTACAAGAGTTTGACCTAGAAATTCGAGACAAGAAAGGGAGTGAAAATGTTGTTGCTGATCACTTGTCGCGCCTTGTTGATGAAAACCATGGAGATGGACAAATTTTGACTCTCAACGAATCATTCCCAGATGAAAAACTCTTTGTCATCCAAGATAAAGAGCCATGTCAATTATCTTGCTTCTGGTGTAATTAGAGATGATTTGACTTTTCAGGAGAGAAAGAAGTTCTTTTCAATGGTGAAACACTACATGTGGGATGAGCCCTATTTGTTCAAGTATTGCCCTGACCAAATCATTCGAAGATGTGTTCCAGAGAGTGAGCAGCAAAGCATACTAACATTCAATCATGCATTGGCATGCGGAGGTCATTTCAGTGCCAAAAAGACAGCTTTAAAGGTTTTACAATCTGGTTTCTTTTGGCCTACATTGTTTAAAGATGCTTTTGATTTTTGCTCTAAGTGTGATAGGTGTCAGAAAATGGGGAGCATCAGTCGCAGGAATGAAATGCCATTAAACAACATTTTAGTGGTAGAGCTGTTCGATGTATGGGGAATAGACTTCATGGGACCATTCCCATCTTCTTTTGGATACATATACATACTAGTGGCAGTAGATTATGTATCAAAATGGGTTGAGGCAACAGCTACAAGAACTAATGATCACAAAGTTGTTTTGAATTTTCTCAAAGATATGATTTTCACTAGGTTTGGAACTCCGAGAGCTATCATTAGCGATGGTGGCAGTCACTTCTGCAACAAACCTTTCAAGGCATTGATGAAGAAGTACAACATCACACATAAAGTGGCAACTCCATACCATCCTCAAACCTCTGGACAAGTGGAAATCAGCAATAGAGAAATAAAGAACATCTTGATGAAAACCGTCAGCCCTACAAGGAAGGATTGGTCACTAAGGTTGAATGATGCACTTTGGGCGTATCGCACAGCGTACAAGACCCCAATTGGAATGAGCCCTTATCGACTGGTGTTTGGAAAGGCATGTCATTTGCCAATGGAGCTTGAGCACCGTGCATATTGGGCCATAAAGAAGTTCAATTTTGATCTCAAAGAAGCTGGTACAGTGAGGAAGCTCCAACTCAATGAGTTGGAAGAGCTCAGAAATGAATCATATGAGAATGCAAGGATCTACAAAGAACGAACCAAGCTCTACCATGACAAAGCAATTCTTAGGAAGGAGTTTCAACCAGGTATGAAAGTACTTTTGTATGACTCACGTTTGCGACTTTTTCCAGGTAAATTGAAGTCTAGATGGGTTGGACCATTCAAAGTGCTTCAAGTATTTCCCCATGGAGCTATGGAGATAGAAAACATCAAGAATGGGACCCGTTTTAAGGTCAATGGACAGCGTTTGAAGCCTTATTTGGAGAATGTTTCACAGGAGCAGGTTTATGTAGTTATGGATTCTCTCGAGTTTATGACAACTTAGACACACTACCATGTCTTGCCTAGACATTAAATAAAGCGCTTGCTAGGAGGCAACCTAGCTGGGTTTGTGTTCTTTCCTTTTATTTGTGTTAGTTTTTAGTTTTTATTTTATTTCATTCCATGCACACTGCCAATTTGCATTGCATCCATTCCATTCATTTTTTTTTAAGCATCGAGGACAATGCTTAGTTTAGGTTTGGGGGTGTGGGATTTTCGTTTGTTTCTAGTTCTGGTTAAAGTTTGCTTTTGCTTACTAATGTGAATGTATATGAGGGCTATGGTTTACAATGAGGACTACTGTGTTGTCATGAAAAAGTTCGTATCATTATTATTTTTTTTTTTTCAAAGCTGTTACTCTTGGAATCATGGTGGTTAAAGTATCATGCTCAAATTCTGGAAGAAGAATTGTGGAGACTACCCTAGAGAGTGATTTTGAGCCGATTTACTTCTTTGAGAGGGTTTAAAGTGTTTGTACTCCTATCTTTTTGCTTCAACTTCATTTCAAATGATCTCATTATTTTTGTTTGATTGAACGCTAAGAATTGTTCTCTTTCGCAGATACCATGTGTTTGGTAACACTCATGAATGAACTCATTGAGATGATGTTAGGCTATGTGTTGGTAATTTTTAACAACAATATTTAAACCTTGCAAGTGCACAAATCAAATGATAGTATAGTAAGCAAGCAAGGGTCATTCCCACAGAGATTGTAATCTAGAGAGATGTTTATCAATGTCACGCAACGAAAACACAAGGACTTCCACACACACGCCAACACCAAGGGGGGTTTTTATTTGATTTTGTGAATAAAACAAAATAAGGAAAACAAAACAAAACAGAATTTAAATTAGAGTTTAAGAGAAATTGGTTTATAATCAATCAAGAACAATAGCTAGGACTCACTATCCACCTCTAACCAATCAATCAATTCATAAACAACAATAGATAATCAATTTCTAGCAATCATATGATGACGACACTCACAACAAGATCATGGCATTTGACTCGAGTTGTATGATTCTCTCTTAAGTGCATGTAAAGTGTATGGCATTTACATCAATACGTGTATTCTTAATTGAAATCTAGTATGGCATTTACTCAAATTAACAATCAAGAATCCATTAAGATCAAAGAGAATATGAGTGTCACAAAAACCCTAAAACATGGCATTTGTTATTAGGAATTCAAGAATCGATTTCTCATAACTAGTTCTTAACCCAATTATTCGTTGCAAACAAGAACACATTCAATATGGCAATTGACCTATGTTCTACAACAATTTAATTCCAATACATGCTTCAAAGTTAGCTACTCAAAGAAACAAAATATCAGAATTCACAAAACATAGAGAAACCGAAATCATCACACTTGTAGAAACTGAAAATCCATTCAAACTTGTTTATAGAATTGAAATCATGTTTAGGGCTTCAAGATTAAGCCCTAACTAACAAGAAATTAGTTACTCATGCTCTTGGATGAACTCAAAAATAAATACATAAGAACTGAAACTTAAAAGAAGAAAGGAAAAGAAAGAACTCGTTGGCAGCTTTCTCCTCTTACGCGGTTGATCCCTTTTGGACGTGAATACTCTGTATCGGGGCCTTGGCTGGCCTTTTATATCACTTATATCAAAGTTATAAACCCTAAAATTGACTGAGAGTCGTCCAAGAAGTCTTGGTAAACAAGGAATCCAAATAGGAAAGTAAAAATCACAATTCCTAACTCCACAGGGAAATACAGCTCAGCCCAATTGTCACACGATTTGGGGATCTTCGGCCTTGTAGAAAAATCATTAAAAATATATTTTAGAAAGATAAATGTCTTATCTTTCCAACCATATATAGCACGTAACTTGGAAAATTCGGGAAGGCTTCCGTTCTTCACATTCACGTAACATGTACGAAACTGTCTTGTCTGCACGTGGGCTAACTTTACTTGTAATACTGTACCAATTGGCTTGGTAGAAAATTCTAGAAAAATCACAGATTGAACTTCAAGATGTTAGCTTTCATCTCCAATTGGCCTTGTGCTAAAATTCCTCCAAAAAGTTGATTTTTCCTTAAAAACCTTCTAAGAGCGCAGAAAAGCTGAAAATCAGAAAAGTAAAGTAGTAAGCCCTTTTTAAATCTAATTCTCCTACAAAACCTAAGTAAAAAGAGTACATAAATGAGTATATTTATGGACTTATCAAAATACCCACAACTTAGATTTTGCTAGTCCTCGAGCAAAACAAAACGGAAAATAAAAACAAAAAAACAACGACTCAAAACAAACAAACAACTAAATTCCCAATATTGATCTCAGAGATAATCATCAACGGTTAACTCACTTCCAAGAAATAAGCAACATTAACTCAGGACATTATCAAAGGGTTAACCAAACTTTAATTGAACAACTTGGAGTGTCGTGTGTGAAATAGCCAACATTAATATAACCATGACTTAAGCTTCACAAGAGTTAAGTAACCAAATAAGAACAAGCTTTAACTTCAATTCTGTTTACTCCAATGAAAACACTCGAAATTTGACTAGGTAATGTCACTCATGTATGTGAGAAGAATCAAAGCAATAGGATGTACTCACATAATTGAAATAAAAGCACAAGACATGAATAAAAGATCTCATGGGAAGATATCGCATACTTGAAAATATTTAAACCATCCGACTATAGTCCTTCCACACCTATTCTCCACATGAGGAACCACACTTCTCCTTGGATCAAGTAGGACTTTCACTAAGGTTGAAATAGGGCTTAGGGTGATGGGTGAAACAAGAAAAAGATATGGATGAACAAACGAAGTCTAAGGGCTAAGTAAAGCTTTCCATGAAATTATAACATCTTGCACTTTAGCACACAATTTTATCTTGATACTGTCTTAAATATATATTTTTTTTTCACTTTTTTTTTTTTTTTTCTAACTCCATTAGCTTTCTAATCAACCCATGTAACAAGTGTTAGGCCAATAACTCCCAAGCTAGATAGCTTTAGGGTATTAAGTGTAAAACACTCCTCGGGCTTAAAAACTCGAGTTGAAAGGCTTCGGAATTTTTGTAACAGTATCATATACACATGATTGAACATTTTGTGCAATTCTCCCTTAACCATGAAAGTGCTCTACAAAGCTCCTTAAAAGGGTGTAGGATAAATATACAAAAGGTTAAGGTGAGGAGAATTGGGTAAAGAATGATAAAGGCTTACATAGAAGGCACAAGGGGTTGACTAGGGATAAAATTGATATGGGTTGGTTGGAAAGGCTCAAACGAACGAAACAAGGGCCTATATCACTTCCTAGGATCCATGTGGTTCATGAAATATGCCTCAAATAGATAACGAAAGTAGTTCTAGCAAACAATTTAAACATCCTCAAGTATTTGACCAAAACAAAGAATAATGAGATCACAACGACTTGTAGATGAGAAAATTATAGAATTATAACACTCAAGAAAGAAAGGGATAGGCTCAAAAACTCACATAATAAGGGTTGTATAAGTCTACACTAGCCTTATTTGGGAATTTAAATCATGTGAACTCCAATCGAAAATCATATTAATATGGCTATGTGCAAAAAGATTTACCAAGTCTAATCACAAGAATAAGGCTAACACAAAGATAATGTAAAGAATTATTGTCATGCTCATAACTTCTTGAAAGTAACTTGTAAATAAAATTCAATCTCATCATAGAATTGGGAAGTGACTACTACAAACAAATAAAAACAAGACTCAAAGTAAAAGAAAATATTTTTTTGATTTTATGTCATTTTTTTTTTTTTTTTTTTTTTTTTTTTTTTTTTTTTAATGAGGAGACACAAATTAGAAACAAGACAATACTCAATCACCCACAACTTAAAATAAACATTGTCCTCAATGTGTAAAATAAAGAAATAAATTAATGGATAATCAATTAAAGAGAGAGAGGGTTTGAGGACTTCCCGGGTTTTCTAGGTGTGCGGAGGGGCAAGAATTTGTTGAAGTGAGAGGAGATAAACAAGGCAACGAACTCAAACACCCACAACTTGTGTCTTTGAATGCCAACGGACTAGTAATAGCTCCTAAAAGTCTCGGAATGTGATGAAATTGGAACGAAATTGAGCTGGATATGTAATCATAAAAATCTGGAAATCTGACATTTAGCAACGAAAAATCTGATGAACACCGCGGCAAAAAACTCTTTAGTGACGAAAAATCTGATGAACACCGTCGCTAAAACCTCTTTGGTGACGAAAAATCTTCAAATTCTGGGCAGAACAGCAGCTGCTGTTTTTAGTGTTTTAGGACCTTTTTTTGAGCTTCAAATCATCCTAAAACATAATGTAGGCCACTGGAGGCCCCCAAACCTGGTCCAAATCGTCAGAATAACCATTCTAAACATGTTGGTGGCATCGGATTGACCTGAAAAACAGCAAAAAATAAATTATGCAGAAATTCTAGTTTTGACCAAAATAAGAACATAAAAGCTATTTTTCTGTTTTCTGGTATCTAAACTCAGCCAATGACCAAAAAAAACTTCTGGAACACATTTGGAACATGCTGCAAACACCCTAGGGCTATAAAAATGTGAAAATTTTTCTTTGGAACACAAAATCCATTGTTTGATGACGCAAAACATAACAAAAACAAAAATTTGAAAATTTACGAGAAATCACACATAAACTAAAACAAAAGTTAAGAATGGTTGGGTTGCCTCCCAAGAAGCGCTAAGTTTAAAGTCTTCAGCCAGACGCGGTTCTTTAGATGATTAAACAATAGATGGGGGTGGTGCATCCACAAGCATGCTCTCTTTTCCAAGCTCAAAAGATTCATAGTATGGCTTCAAGCGATGTCCGTTCACTTTGAATATGTTTCCCATCTTGTCATTTTGAATCTCAACTGCACCATGAGGGAAAACATTAGTAACAACAAAAGGACCATACCATCTAGAACGTAACTTACCTGGGAATAGCCGAAGGCGTGAATTGAAGAGCAAGACTTTCTGCCCTATTTCAAAGGTCTTCCTTTGAAT